TTCCATTCAATATATTCAAAGTTCAATTCAATCTATTCAAAGTTCAATTCCATATATTCAAAGTTCATTCAATATATTCAAACTTCCATTCAATATATTCAAAAGTTCAATTCAATCTATTCAAAGTTCCATTAATAATATTCAAAGTTCCATTCAAATATTCAAAGTTCAATTCAATCTATTTAAAGTTCCATTCCATATATTCAAAGTTCCATTCAATATATTCAAGTTCATTCCATATATTCAAAGCTCCATTCCATATATTCAATGTTCCATTCATATATTCAAAGCTCCATTCCATATATCAAAGCTCCATTCATATATTCAAAGTTCATTCAATATATTCGAAGTACATTCCATATATTCAAGTTCCATTCCATATATTCAAAAGTTCCATTCAATATATTCAAAGTTCCATTCAATATATTCAAAGTTCAATTCAATATATTCAAAGTTTCATTCCATATATTCAAAGTTCAATTCAATATATTCAAAGTTTCATTCCATATATTCAAAGTTCCATTCAATATATTCAAAGCTCCATTCCATATATTCAAAGTTCAATTCAATATATTCAAAGTTCCATTCAATATATTCAAAGTTCAATTCCATATATTCAAAGTTCCATTCCATATATTCAAAATTCAATTCAATATATTCATAGTTCCATTCCATATATTCAAAGTTCAATTCCATATATTCATAGTTCCATTCCATATATTCAAATTTCATTCAATATATTAAAGTTCCATTCAATATATTCAAAGTTCATTCAATATATTCAAAGTTCCAATTCCATATATTCAAAGTTCCATTCAATATATTCAAAGTTCCATTCAATATATTCAAAGTTCAATTCAATATATTCAAAGTTTCATTCCATATATTCAAAGTTCCATTCCATATATTCAAAGTTCCATTCAATATATTCAAAGTTCAATTCAATATATTCAAAGCTCCATTCCATATATTCAATGTTCCATTCCATATATTCAAAGCTCCATTCCATATATTCAAAGTTCCATTCAATATATTCAAAGTTCCATTCAATATATTCAAAGTTCAATTCAATATATTCAAAGTTCCATTCCATATATTCAAAGTTCCATTCAATATATTCAAAGTTCCATTCAATATATCAAAGTTCCATTCAATATATTCAAAGTTCCAATTCAATCTATTCAAAGTTCATTCAATATATTTAAAGTTCCATTCCATATATTCAAATTTCATTCAATATACTCAAAGTTCCATTCACTATATTCAAAGTTCCATTCCATATATTCAAAGTTCCATTCCATATATTCAAAGTTCCATTCCATATATTCAAAGTTCCATTCACTATATTCAAAGTTCCATTCAATATATTCAAAGTTCCATTCCATATATTCAAAGTTCCATTCACTATATTCAAAGTTCCATTCAATATATTCAAAGTTCATTCCATATATTCAAAGTTCCATTCAATATATTCAAAGTTCAATTCCATATATTCAAAGTTCCATTCATATATTCAAAGTTCCATTCAATATATTCAAAGTTCATTCCATATATTCAAAGTTCCATTCAATATATTCAAAGTTCCATTCAATATATTCAAAGTTCAATTCAATATATTCAAAGTTCCATTCAATATATTCAAAGTTCCATTCAATATATTCAAAGTTCCATTCAATATATTCAAAGTTCCATTCAATCTATTCAAAGTTCCATTCAATATATTTAAAGTTCCATTCCAATATATTCAAAGTTTCATTCAATATACTCAAAGTTCCATTCACTATATTCAAAGTTCCATTCCATATATTAAAAGTTCCATTCCATATATTCAAAGTTCCATTCCATATATTCAAAGTTCCATTCCATATATTCAAAGTTCCATTCAATATATTCAAAGTTCCATTCCATATATTCAAAGTTCCATTCCATATATTCAAAGTTCCATTCAATATATTCAAAGTTCAATTCCATATATTCGAAGTTCCATTCACTATATTCAAAGTTCCATTCAATATATTCAAAGTTCAATTCCATATATTCAAAGTTCCATTCACTATATTCAAAGTTCCATTAAATATATTCAAAGTTCAATTCCATATATTCAAAGTTCCATTCAATATATTCAAAGTTCCATTCAATATATTCAAAGTTCAATTCAATATATTCAAAGTTCCATTCAATATATTCAAAGTTCAATTCCATATATTCAAAGTTCCATTCCATATATTCAAAGTTCCATTCAATATATTCAAAGTTCCATTCAATATATTTCAAAGTTCATTCAATATACTCAAAGTTCCATTCAATATATTCAAAGTTCCATTCCATATATTAAAAGTTCATTCCATATATTCAAAGTTCCATTCCATATATTCAAAGTTCCATTCCATATATTCAAAGTTCCATTCCATATATTAAAAGTTCCATTCAATATATTCAAAGTTCCAGTCCATATATTCAAAGTTCCATTCACTATATTCAAAGTTCCATTCAATATATTCAAAGTTCAATTCCATATATTCGAAGTTCCATTCACTATATTCAAAGTTCCATTCAATATATTCAAAGTTCAATTCCATATATTCAAAGTTCCATTCACTATATTCAAAGTTCCATTCATATATTCAAAGTTCAATTCCATATATTCAAAGTTCCATTCAATATATTCAAAGTTCCATTCAATATATTCAAAGTTCATTCAATATATTCAAAGTTCCATTCAATATATTCAAAGTTCCATTCCATATATTCAAAGTTCCATTCCATATATTCAAAGTTCCATTCAATATATTCAAAGTTCCATTCCATATATTCAAAGTTCCATTCCATATATTCAAAGTTCCATTCCATATATTCAAAGTTCCATTCCATATATTCAAAGTTCAATTCAATATATTCAAAGTTTCATTCCATATATTCAAAGTTCCATTCCATATATTCAAAGTTCCATTCAATATATTCAAAGTTCCATTCAATATATTCAAAGTTCCATTCACTATATTCAATGTCCCATTCCATATATTTAAAGTTCAATTCAATATATTCAAAGTTCCATTCCATATATTCAAAGTTCCATTCAATATATTCAAAGTTCCATTCAATATATTCAAAGTTCCATTCCATATATTCAAAGTTCCATTCAATATATTCAAAGTTTCATTCCATATATTCATAGTTCCATTCCATATATTCAAAGTTCCATTCAATATATTCAAAGTTCCATTCCATATATTCAAAGTTCCATTCATATATTCAAAGTTCCATTCCATATATTCAAAGTTCCATTCCATATATTCAAAGTTCCATTCATATATTCAAAGTTCCATTCCATATAGTCAAAGTTTCATTCAATATATTAATTTCCTGAACGGCTTGCCATATATATAGGTGTATGTTCCATTTTTCCTAACTTGTGAGCTATGGGACACTCCTGAATTTCCCCCAGGGGATGAATAAAGAATTCATCTATCTATCTATCTATCACCTATGTTACAGTAAGGCAATTCATAGAGGATAATGTGTAAGCTATGACTGCCATCTGCAGGTGTTTGAAACTGCTGGAGTAATTCATAAATAAGGCTAAACCAAAATGTCACATAATCAGACATGACCAGAGCCTATTTTTTGTTTTTAGAAGTAAAGTCTTAACAAATCTTGAATGAATCTTGACACTCGTGTTTATTTTGGTATTTCGGGAAGCTTGTGTGTGCGAGCATGCGCGAGGTGCCTTGTTTCAGAGCCAATCACGTTAAAGATAAACACTGTATTGCGTCATTGTTATTGTTGTAGTTGGCGCTACTGCTGCATACAGAGATTTCGCCACCATTTCGCTTACATTTAGGCATCTAAAACAGCTTTAACGAGTGGAAACGCAATCATTTACCAGTACAATGTCTATCCAAAAGGACATTTCATCGGACGAGAGTTTGCAAGGTAAAGTGTAACCAACAAAACCGCATGTAGCTCACCAATAGAAATGCTAGCGCTAGTCGATAGTATTAAAAACACAAGGTAACTAACGTTCATATGCTTAACCCATGTAAAGCCAAGATTAAAATGTCTTGATAAGTCATGTTCAAAATCATTGTTCTATATTTTAAACGTGAATAAATAGCTTAGAGGACAGCCCGTCGACCTATTTATTTGCTATGTTGCGAAATCAAATGCCTTCCAGCCAAAAACAATCCCCGTGTCTGCTTATTCAAGTCTCCCTCACTGATATCAGTCCTGGCCTCTGTATTATCAAATATGGATACCCACATTTTATTCATTTTAAGACTGTTTATTTGATCTTAGGTTCCTGGGTTGAGCTGCATTTCAGTGGCACTGCCTCTCAAAGCACCAGTCATCACGGAAGCCAGGAGCAGATCCCCACGACCAGCCTGGAGTGTGACGTGGAGAAAATGTTACTGGAGGCTCAGCACGAATCAGGAAGAAGCAGCTCCAGAGGAAGCTCTCAGTGCAACAGGTTTGTGGGGGAAAAAAGAGAGGAAGCTGAGCATGTGTGCATTGTGTAATACAGCTTGTCAGGAATGTGGACTTAAAGTGATAAGTGACCAAAGTTATGTGTTCTTCACACAGCCCACTTAGAGCACAAACCCCCCTTCTACTGTGGAGAGGCTCGGAGGGAAACAGCTCACAGGTATATTTGTTTGAATCACTGACTTGTATAAAAAAAATATATATATATATAATTGAATCTGTGTAGATTTGTTTAGATGCTCATTTCCTTAGAAAAGTGTTTGTAGAATTCATAAATGGCCAAGTTGTTGCTGTACATGTTCTGACCATTGGTAATTGAAAATCCAAAATTGGTGTTTCTAGTCAGAGGAAGACTTCCAAGAAAGAAGACGGGAAGTTGAGAACATGATGAAGAAAAATGCTGACTGGATCTGGGACTGGTCCAGTCGACCTGAAAACAGTCCCCCAAAGTATGTAGCTCCTTCTAATTAGGAATCAAAGAAGCAGGGGGAAGTGGTAGCCTCACCTTGTTTGTCTTGTGTCACAATTTATGATTGTAATTATATATAGTGAATGAAAAAAAGAGGATGTCTGTATGAGCAGAGGTGTAAGTATGACATTAGACCTGCACTCATTCATTTTAATGTATTCAACACGGTGAAAAATTAATGTGCTCCTCTGCAGGGAGTTCCTGCTGAAGTACCCTAAGCGCACCACCTCACTCAGCATCAGGAACACCAGCGTCATGAAGAAGGGAGGCGTCCTCTCTGCTGACTTTCTGAAGCTTTTCCTTCCCTCGCTTATCATTTCGCACATACTGGCTGTTGGACTAGGGTAAGCTACATAATTACATTTCTAACTCTGGTAACACTACAATTGCATATTACAAATACAATACCACTTCCAAAGACCTGTGAAAAACCCAAGTTTTTTTTTTTTTTTTTTTACCACAAAACATTGATGTTTATTATCATAAATCACGCTGAGATCTGGCATGAAAGCAAAAAAATCACTTTATTTCAAAATCACAAGACGGAAAGATAGAGAACTGATTTCCTTCTTTTTCGTAACACCACTGCTGCAAACAGACCCTTTAATTGCACCAACAGACCATGAATAATTGAGTGGTAGTCTTATTAGCCAGCTGTCAATCCGTTTCAGCAGGATTGATTCCAGTCTTGTGTTTTGACTCTCAGTGTGGGGACAACAGTTTAATTGACATTAGTGTTGTAGCCATTTCTAAACCCAGTATCATCCTCTCCATGAGCATCTTATATATTGCACAGAAAAGGAATTATTTTGGCATAAAGTTTTAAGAACAAAACTACATGATGGAAGACAACATAACGATGCTGATTGTTGGGTGACAGGTTTAAACATGTGGGAACCTAAAATGCTTCAATGTGATGACTTTTCATGTGTAGTATGGCCATTTAGTTTGCTCAGGGCTTTTATTTTTAACCTTCCGAGTTTTCATATCCCTCAGTTTTTTTGTCACATGTATCAAATCATTTGTTTTATGTATGAAAAGTATATCCATTGCTCGATTAGGGAATTTTGATTGAAACAAAATGTAATTTCCATGACCATATCTGATTGTCTTAACTATTTCTTTTTCCTTTTGATGTCTTGCATACAGCACTACCTCGTTTGACATTGTTGTCTCTCTCCTTTCAGGATATATATTGGGAAGCGTCTTACTTCCCACAACACCTACTGAGTAGAAGAGGGTGTGTTTCCACACGTTGTCACCTTGATGTGACCATTTTGGCATGCCTTAAAACGGGACCTTCTGCATATCACAGGGGGATGTGGCAATGTGACATTGTTTATTTTTTTGAATGAGTACCCCACATCACCCACACTAGCTTGGACAGTTCAGGATATATGTCGTTGCTGTTGTATTGTGAAAACTCCTAAAGAACTTCACAGTGACACATCCTCTGCTCCTTGTTTAGCCTGGCTTGGAGATGACTGTTTTGCTGCTTCCTGCTCCGTAAATCTACACGTTGGGGAACTTATTAACATGTCCATAATCGTTACGTTTGCAATGAGTGACCACTTTTGATTTTGAATTATGTACCGTTAGTTGTTGCTTTTATTTTTTAAAGATCAGCTATGGATAAAGGAAACACACAAAGGGATCTTTGGTTAATTATGGCAATTTGTGCAAATAATATTGTCACAATAAAAAAAAAAAAACAATTAGCCTGTTAATCACTGATATTGTCCATTTTGTTCATGACACACACAATAAAAGATTTACAAAAGTTCAGTGGAAGTGGAATTAGATTTTTTTTTTTTTTAAAGAACACACCACATGCAGATGAACACAATTAAAATTTTATTGAACTTTGGTCAAAATAATAAACAAGTGAATACATTGCCACCATGTTAGGATTCAATGGACAAAGACAATGCATTATTATGTGTTTTAATGTCATCAGTATATGTTTTGTGTAGTCAACCTTCACTTCTGCATTCACAACTACGGAGATGAGTTAAGATCCACATTTGCAGTACGCGTTCAAATTGGGGGTGAGATCCCTAACAAATGAATAAGGGCACATGTATGAGGCCTGTCTGAACTTCCTACTTAATACATTACTCGGAGGCACTCTCTCATAAACTGTATGGTGTGCAATTTTCCTCCTTTGTGATTTTCATAGACAGCCACATGTAGCAGCAGTATATGAGGACATAACTCTATAAAATAGGATTTACAAATAATGCACATGAGGTTTGTAAAACGTTTGGGGACATAACTTGTAGCTGTCACTGATAGAAGTAGGTATTAAGGCTGCAGATTCCCTTTATCCTGGGCCCCATCTTGTGCCATGTAGTTTCCAGCCTTCATCCTAAAACATGGTCAAAAACTCAGAAATTAATCTCTTGACACAAACACATTATCGGTTGTCTCAACAGTGATTCTGACACTGGTAGCCCCAAGTATTATTTCCATTACAAGTTAGCTCGAGATCTGCTCAAAAGACAGTGGTGTGACTGGACATTTTTCCACCTCTCTACAACATAAAAACATGCAAAGCAATAAACATGTTTTAATACATACTTCTAAATTTAAAAACACATCTGTAGTTTTAGTTTCTTTTATTAAGTGGATGACAAGGTGTACTTGAGTAGATACAGTCAGTGAAATTATGTCACCGTATTGACTGGGAGAAAGTAAGAGGAGGGAGGGGGAGAAAAGAAAACAGGTCCACTTTCCAAATTCATGGCCTCTTCCACCAGTAGTTTGGCCTGAATACATGGCCATTAGGGGAATGTTACAGTTAGGCTTATTGGCCATTAATCCTTGCTTCAGAGGGCCCAAAAATCTTTAAGATGATGTTACAACTTTGACAAGACGTCATTTTAAGGGCTTCCAAGAGTTCTGTCGTTAAATCATGAAATGAAGGCTTAAAATGTCAACACAAACACCAACGTTCAAGAGTTTGACCTCTAGGGAGTGCCATTCCATCAATTAGACCCGAATTGGGCTTTCTGGGTCAGGGGGGCATGTTGATTGCCCTGGTGCCAAAGGCAAAAACAACCTAAGCTCAGACTCAAAATAAAACAGGCCTATGGATCAACCTCCTGTGGCAAAAAAGTAGACACGTGCTTTCGAATTCTTCACCAGGAGGACAACGAGGCTGTTTCTTCTTATACAGATAGACAAGTAGTAGGCTTAACTACACAGGTACGGTAAAAGCCCTATCCTCTGGAGCCCGAAATCTTCTAGTTGATTTTGTCCTGGAAAATGTACAAGTTGTTGGTGGCTGCCACAGCTATCACGTTATCTTTGGGGTGCCAGGCAGTGTGGAGGATCTTCTTGTTGAAGTCCAGGCTGTCCACGCTGATCTCATCCTTCTTCCTCTTGCCGCCAGTGGACACCTTGCGTGGTTTGAGCGTGGCCCGTGGTTTGCTGCTCTCCCGGGACGCCTCCAGTGTGATGTCCCGCCTGGTGTTGCGGTCAAACATTCGGAAGAAGTTGTTGTAGGAGCCGGTCATGATGGCACTGGAGGAGAAAGAAAAATAAACGTTGTCTTTAAACTATCTTGGAAGAAAAAAACAATACAATGCGACAAGTGATCAATACACACACACACACACACACACACACAAAGTTATATTCAGGAACTCAAAGCTTTCAAGACACTATTAAATGTAAGAAGCGGACCACATGCCAGATGCAAAAAGGACACTCACCTGTCACTGCCATTCCAGCAGCACTCAAACTTGTCAAAGATGCAGTCGTTTTCATACAAAGAGCAGAGTTTACTGCGAAGGTATTCATGGACCTGAAACAAAATGTATCACTTAGACGACATATCCAATTCAATAACACCTAACATCTCTGTACCTAACTCTATCTCTGTAGATAGAATTTAGGTGTTTGGCTCATTCAGCAAAAACAATACTTTGCCTGAGTACTTATCTCCAATGGCAAGTTCAGAATTGCCCTCCCATTGAGTGGTTAACCAGAAACACCTGTGATTGGCTGCTACTTGTGTGTGGACATTGCGTACCCTTCACTGAAGAATCAAAACGTTTCATGCTGTTGTGTATTTATCCAACTATTTCACAACTAGCTTCAAGAAAAACATTTGGCCATTATGTCATAGTAGATTTTAACCAAATTGAATGTTTGGAATAAACATGTACAGTTGCATGTCACAGTTACACATAAGCACAAGAGGACTATCTACAGGGAAAAGCCTGATTAACTGTTCAGCCCATGTTAGAGATTTACTGTAATCCCTGCTTTAAGCTGTCACATGAATCATATAGATCATTTAAAAACACTGCTTAGCCTTTTCTTTTTCTGTCTTGCTTGAGGTCAATGTAAGTTTGACTTGGAAGTCCCATGATAAGAAGAAGTGTTTATGCACCTGATACGTCTCCACTGGCCTGTTCTCCATGTTGAGGTCCCAAACTTTGACGGAGAGGTAGTCACGTGTCATCATATAGCGTCCGCTGTGACTGAACTTCACGTCTGAGATGGAGGAGATGATCTCAGAGAAAAAGGATCGGCTGCTTGGGTCCTCAGGCTCTTCAAAGACTGGGGGTAAAAAAAAAAAAGGAGAAATATTCTCTATATCTTTTATTTCCAAAAAATCTATCTGACCATACACCTTTTTGGAATCCAAAAGGATAGCATCGAAATGTATTATATACAAAGAAAAGAATCTGTAGTTTCATTTATGATTAAAAAAAAAAACAAGAACATGCCCATGTCCAAACAAAAGTTCTCATATCTTCTGCCCTTAAACTAAAGAAACGCTTTACAGTATCAACAATGAGATATTATCGTATACATTTAACATCAAGCGATTTGACTGATCTTGCAGCACTACAGTGCGGGTACTTACACTTTGAGTGCCTATCGCAGAGTGCTGCTGCTCGCATGTCACACAGGCGGATAGTGCCTTTGCTACTGCTGTACACAAATACATTGCATTGGTGTGGATGGCACTCAGCAGCTGTGATTACTTCTGTCAGTTCCTCCATGTTGGCGGGCTTGATGTCTACAATATCTGGGAACAAAGTGTTAAAGAACTAACAGGCTTATGTTTCATAGTTACACAATGCAGAGATGATTAGCCTAGAAGTCACATATCTAATCTTTTTGCTTATAAAGAAAAAAGGATACTAAAACTTCTGTCTGTGATTTCCAAGTGCCATAGATTTATTCTTAGGTCGTCTGCGGAGAGGTACGTTTCATGATCACTATTTACAGAAATGGAATTAATGTGATAGGTGTGTGCATTTGCAAAGATCCTCCTTGGGCTTGCTTCTACCATGAGATCCATTGGCATCAGCACTGGTACCTGAAACATAAAACATGCACGCTTAAGATGGAAAAATAAATAAAAGTCGAAACTCTTCGCTCAAGATATGAAACACATGATCAAACGTACCCGTAAAGAGGTGATTCTAAAGGGGTCTCTGAGTCGTCCATCTTCATCTTTCAGATTGTAACCTTCTGCTCGTTTATCTCTTTCACTTATTTTCCACAATTTGATAGTTTTATCTAAAAAAAGAAAGAAAAGAAAATGAATGAGTAAGTCATTAAATTAAGACTTAATTTCCTATATCACCAGATCTTTAAAGCATATTAAAAATGACCTCTTACCATTTGTTGAAAGTAGAAAGTGAGCAGCATTTTGTTGGGGTAGCCATCGTATTTTATTAATTTTTTCCTCAATTTCTAAACTTTTCAAATAGTCAAATTCTGGCTCGTGACTCTGAAAAGTGCTATACACGTTGTACTCCCCGCGCAGGTGTGGACGATTCTTAGACTGAAAACAAAAGGTTACAGAGATTACTCAAACTGTATATATATATACACATATATATATATACATATATATACACCACAACAAAGTGGCACCCTTCTCACATTAATAAATCATCACGATGCTCATCCGTCAGTGCATGTCATTCTTACCTCCTGTTCATGTTGAAAAATCACTACTCTGCCTCCTTTATCTCCAGTTGCAAGCAACTCTCCAGAATAGTTGAACTCAACTGTTGAGATTATGTCAGCTGAAAAGTGACACAAAAATCAGAGCAAATTAAACCAAACAGGTCAGAGGTCAAGTGGTTGTTTGTTGCTGGCAAACACAATTTATCTTAAACACTCACAACACATCTACTTACACCCTGAATCAATGAATGAAAACAAGCGTGATGTCACTTGACAATTTATGGACGCAGCACATTGACGTCATGGACACGGTCGCTCCCCTTTAATAGCCTAGCCACCACTTAGCACACAGCTAGCCAGCGACAATCAAAGTCATTTAAAGCAAAACAAAAAAACAAAAAAAAAGAAATGTGTGTTTGTGCAATTACTCTAGAACCAGATCTACACCCCGCACACAACAGCTGTCACGTATTAAACACGGGTCGGGTCATCTTAACTATCGTGCATCTTTGACGTGAAGCATCCGGGAGCATCATTGCCCCCTGTTAGCCTTAGCCGTCGAGCTAACGTGTAGCCACATACCTTCCGCAACATCTTCATCTATCGCTCCTTTCACTTGAGAGAAACACCACTGAAAATCGTTTCCTCCTGCAACTCCTGCAAGAAAACAAACGCGTTAGTTTCTGTCTGATTTTGCGTTTCCTTTTGGTGAGATAAATCACCTAACAGTGACAACAGTTTGACAACTAGCCACTTAGCTTGCCAGCGCTAAGTTGCAGATTCAGGCCATCACACACACCGAGTGAGGTGGGTCCTTCTCCCCCCCCTTCAAAAAAGTAGCTTACCCG